CCCCATTACGACCCTCATGAAAAGACAACTTACATTTTCTCCATATCCTTAGTTATTGTTCCAGTTGTTCAGCTCATGCAATAATTAAAACAACTAAAACATTTTGAATGTTTATCGTGTGGTCACTTCTCACACATTCTTGTTCAAAGATATTTTATGATCATGTAAATATGTATTGTCATAATATGCAAGGGCCGCAAGGGGGTGTCAGAGTTACGTAATTATATTGGACATGATTAACCACGAATAAATACTGGGGTCAAAATCAATTGGTCGATTTATTAATCATGCACCACATTCTTTATATTCGCCATTGTTATATGCTGAAAATTTCTAATTAATATACTATATAATAAAATATTAATTTTCGCGAACCATTTAGGTCACAGAAATTCCAAAAAATGGCATCCATTTTTCTACAATTTCTAATAAAATATTATAAAACCTGCAGTTCAATAGGTCACATGCCCCAAATAAACATTCCCCGATTGGTCGAACAACTGTGGCCTCGGTGTAAAGCAACGCAAGCCTCGATGTAAAGATCACGCTTCCAAAAATAGAGGTATGTCCCAACTTAACATTCCCCGATTTGTTGAATGGCTGCTCGATGTAAAGCAACGGAAGCCTTGATGCAATGAAGAAAAGGGGTTGACAGGATAAACGTAATCATTATAAATTTTAACTTCATGGTTCTTATGCAAGCAAATTTAATAAACAATGATTTTATACAGTTGTGGTATTGTTTTCACCTTACATAGGGCTTTATTTCTGATCTTATTTCTGTGTACACAATTCTGAATCTACATATTTCACCTATAACAATATTAGGTAATCCGTTTGGACGATTCCATATACTATTATGTTTTAGGGTTTTTTAGCTTCAGTGTCGAGTTGGTGTATAGTATTGAGGGCTATCTGCGAGAAATAAATCTTTTTTTTCTGATATATTAACTAAATTCAAGACCAATACAAAAACAGTTAACACATATATTTTATTTAACTGAGTAAATTGATCGGAATGTGAATGATACATAAACCTAAAATTCGTTTTGGTCTATCCCAGTGATGACATTTGCGCGGGAATTTAGTCCATTGACATCGTAATATAATTTACTTTGGATTATAATTATCTTTAGATGTATTGTTACAGGATTTAATGTGAAATCATTTGTCTCTTCTTTTATAGTACACGAGTTTGACGTCAGGTTTGTACACATGAAGTCTCTAGTCTAAAAAAAGCCAGTGACAGAACGATAAACAGATATTGAGATAAGCAACTGTCTAGGGCCAAGTAAGGGAGGTGAAAAAGCCAGTATTACGCAGAACGATAAACAGTAACATAGACGGATCCAGGGGTGTGGAAAATTTGGTTGATTTTATAGGGAAGCAGGGGCGGATCCAGCCATTTTATAAAAGTGGGGTTCCCAACTCAGGACAATGGGTGTGGGAGTTGTGTTCCAACTATGTGTCCCCATTCAAATGCATTGATCGTCCAAAAAAAGGGGGGTTCCAACCCTCGGAACCCTCCCCCGGATCCGCCACTGGGGAAGCATGACGGGAGTGGGCAACCCTTAGGTCAGTCAGCGCCCCCCCCCCACCCTTTTATGAAAAGTTGTGGATCCGCCACTGAGATTTATATGATCAGGTTTTCTTTGTGTAGATACCTTAAAATATCACCAACTGTGACTGAGTACACAATTTGGTTCATTTTAGCTCATTAGCTGGGCTCACTCACTAAAAAGGTTCATTGCGGGCCTGCTCACTGGCTAATATTTTACGATATTCGTGTAGAAAAGCCGATAATCTATACATGTGAGTGAGGAGTAATTATCAAGCTTCCTTTCGTCTGTAAAAACTGTCTCAGGCCAAGTTAGGGAGGTGAAAAAGCCAGTAATAGAACGATAAACAGATGATCAGGTTTTCTTCATATAGATCCCTTAAAATATCCCCCACTGAGGACACAATTTGATTAATTTTAGCTCATTACCTGCGCTCACTCTCCATAATAGGTTCATTGCGGCTTACTGGCTAATATGTGTAGAAAAGCTGATAACCTATACATACATGTACATGTATATGGTCAGATCATATGTTTTCGTACGTCATATGAATTTGTACTATGCATGCCTTTTCAATGGAAATTGTGACGACAGTATGCATTCTTAATAGCACGAAAAATGATGAGAAGAGGATACATATGTCAACCAAAATTTTTCAGCAACGTCAAAATATGTGAGGACACCCTATCAAGATCTATCATGCTTGTGTTCATGTTGCGTTAAAACTGTTTTAGGAAGGTGAAAAATACCAACAACATAACAATAAATAGATAATCGATATTGTAAAATATCAATGTGTTGAAAAGCCTATGATCTACATATATACTTAAATATGTCAACCATAAAATAAAACTGATTTAATTTACACCACAACTGTTGAAAAACCCTTTATGTTTATATAACTTATCTCATTCTAGTCCATTCAACTGACAGAATCGGTGTACATTTCATGAACTCTTTATTAACAAGAATCATCATGGACTATTCTTTATAGCAATATCTGTTAGCCATTTAGGGGTCTTTTGCATTCGAAGTTTAGTTTTAGTGGGTTTATTTTGCGAAAAAGAACTCAATTTCCAGATCAAAGTTAACATTATCTATATATTTTGCTGTGTCAAAATGACCTAATAAATATAAAGAACAGTACCCATATAGACCCAAAAATGGTATATCACATTCTACACATGACATTTTAGCAGGAAAGACTGCCGTTGGAGTATATAACTTTTAACCTGTGTATATATAATTAAAATACGATAATAAAATTCATGTCTTTTTCAGTACCTCTGATCCAACCATGTAGTATGGCATGTTTGTGAGATATGGTTTTGGTGGATAGGATGTTCATGAAGGACCTGTAGTACAAAGTATATCACTGGATTGAGCTCTTTGTGTAAGTGTATTATTAAAGTGCTTTGCTTTGAGCTCAGTTCATTGTTATGCAATTCATTCTTTGTGAAATAAAGATTTGACAGACAACTCTCATGTACAAGGATTTGTCAGGGTAGTATCCATTCTACATGTTCTATGTACAATGTAAGTAATAAGGAGATAAAAGCATTTTATTATGATTTGAACCAAACATTTTTTGTCCAATAACCAAATTTAAAAAAAAGAACAAATTTACCCGACAATGCTACACTCGCTACTAGCAATATGATGCTAGGTTGTTTTAATACATCTGTACTGCCTACTGATGACTCTGTCCTGAGTGTAAATGGTCATTCAGTATGTTAAAAAAAAGGGCAAAATTTATAAGGCCTATCTGGCCTAATTGATTTCTAAAATTATATTTCATTGTACATGTTCAACATTTTTCATTCATTTGTTTATTTCTTAATTTGTGTGAATTAACATTGTTACAGTAAATGTTAATTACTACACTTTCATACCACAACAAATACTGTATTGGTATCATTTATATTTGTATCCATATAACAAAAAAAATTGAAAAGAGAATAATTTTGCAATACCTTTTTCATATTGAATACTATAACTTTTTTGATATTTAGACTTATTAAGTAGATTTTCATAATACCCACTTGACATGCTTGAAATTCTATCAGATTACTTTTGGAGCAGTTATGAGTCTTTGAAGCATGCTCACAAAGGCTTTTTTGTTGATATCATTTTCATATTGGTCAAAAGTTTTTTTTGCTTCGGCCAGCTTTGGAGGAGATGTTATCAAAGAATTGATAAAAACAACACAGAAGTTTACTTTCTAGCTCTTCTAGCCCCAAGCATCATGTCAGGCATTGTCTTTACTAAAAACCAATAAATGTCTTCTAATCTGAGCAACAATTTCGACATTTTAACAAAATATTTTACTAATGATACTTACAATCCACCACAAAGTAATATAAATAGAACCATACAAATAGTGAGCAAATACATATAAAACAGATGTGGTATGATTGTCAATGAAACAATTCTCCACAACAGACCAAAATGACACAGAAATTAACAACTACGGGTCACCGTACAGCCTTCAACAATGAGCAAAGCCCATAACACATAGTCATTTATGTTATTTATGTTCACAAAATAAAAGAAAAACAAATATTATGTAACACATAGACAAACGACAACCACTGAATTACAGCCTCCTGATATTATGTTCTCAGATATCATCTCCCATTTAAAAAAAAATCACATGAAAAAATGAACCTATTATGTGTTGCTCTCCTAGCTACAATATGTATCCAAAATCAAAGATGTGGAAAATATTCTATCATAATCATTTGGTAATTAATGCAATTAGTGTCTCTTCCATGCCCGTCTTGAACATAAAATCTAAATATTAATTAAACAACACTCCTCATGCTCAGGTTGGTTGTCATCGTGCCATACAGTTAATAACAACATACATGTAGGAAAAACATAAACATAGAACTCCTTTTGTCATATAAAACACTGTCAAACATCCAAACATACTATCCACATTCATCTGTGTCCACACTTGTACGAATAGAAAAAAACTGGTCGGACCTGTGTTATACCTACTGCATCTGCTTTACTTATAGCCTGTACATAATAGGTTGTGCTTTGGCATCGCCACTTTACTTATAGCCTGTACATAATAGGTTGTGCTTTGGCATCGCCACTTTACTTATAGCCTGTACATAATAGGTTGTGCTTTGGCATCGCCACTTTTCTTATAGCCTGTACATAATAGGTTGTGCTTTGACATTACCACTTTTCGTATAGCCTGTACATAATAGGTTGTGCTTTGGCATCGCCACTTTTCAAATGGTGTGTAAGGTATATCATATTTTGTGTACAGTATGTCACTTATAACACGTGACAAAATTTTACTACACATTACATTAATTTGAAATGACTAAGAGACAATCGATCTAAAAAGAAATTTAACAATTAAGGCTTTCACTAATGGTATGACTGAAAATACAACAATTATGTTATGTTAAAAGATCAACTTACGATTTTGGGTCCATCATGGATTCAAGTTATGAGTGAACTTTTATCCTAATGTAAACAAGGTCATAACCCAATATGTCTCAAGTGTACAAATATAGTTATCTGTATGCAACGGCTAAAAATACAACAATGTGAATTGAGCGCAGTGACGTCATACTTAATAGGAGCAGGTTATAATGTAAGGGACAGCCATTTGATTTTCGTGGTTACGTGTTGTGGGGGATTGGGTATGGGCGGTTTGGTTTTGTTTTATTTTTACGGGGGGTTGGGGGTTTGGGTTTGGGTTTTGGTTGGGTTGGGTTGGGGGAGTTGACAATGAATATACTGGCTAGTAAACATAGTAATATATAAAATTTGCAGAATAATTTTGTAATTTTGAAATAAAAATTGTTTTTTTTTTTAAAAGTTCATACCTTAGTTACTCAGTTAGCCATTGCTTTTTAAAGGCAGTGCTTTAATGCCTTTCTAGTTGCCGGGTTAATCCTTCCTTCTGCGATATCCAACTTATCTACGTTGGGGGTCGTTAGGCTCCAAGTAGATCCGGAAATGTTGAATTCTCTCCTCTTCTTATTGTGATATAAAAAGTTTTTTGTTTCATTTCATTTACATTGGGAAAAAGAGAAACGATCATTGTGTTTTGTTAGTTTTAAAAACTTTTGATATATTTGTATTTTGCATTATAAGCAGTCAACCGATTGACAAACTAGAATTATTTGAATTCCGTGTGTAAAGAGCTTGGGTTAATTTCGAGTGTTATCTGCAATCGATATGTTTATAAATCATTTCAGTCGTTGATATAATAATTAAAGGTCGACTGAACATGAATTATATTACTATTACTACTAGTATACAATTTAAAGCGCATTTCTGTTTATGCACGTGAACCCGTCTAACGTTATTGTTATTTCGCAGTTATATAAAGTAGCAGATTATCGTTCCTGAATAGATGGCGCCGTGGTAGCCGATCCTGTTCCGCATCTTCCGGTTTGTGCACTGTGCAACTATTTCAGTTACATTTTTAATTAACGATGCCAAGTACTTGTTGTTGTGTACCTGGACGTCATTTAAGAGGAGGACATGCATTTCCAAATGACTTAAAAAGTAGGAAAAGTTGGATCAACGCCATGGCCCATACGCACATTGGACGAGAACACGATGAAATCGTGGAGTCCATCTCAATCAGCTGTTGTTTGCAAGGCACATTTTACTGAAAAAGACTACGTGCAGGAAACTATTCATGGTAAAACTCTATTTTCTTTTTGAAATATATAGTTATATATGTAATCGCCATGCGAATAAACCAAAGTCTGTTTACAGCCGCAATTATCGTTTTAGAATAAAAGGGGGTGGTTAATTCAAGACGTCATAATTTTTTGGATTACGATTCAATGTGATCTGTTTGAGATTTTTTGGTGATTGCTACAATTATAATGATTTCTTACAAGAGGTATATCATACTGAGAATTATTTTAGCAGTAATTATGCTAATGTAGTAATGACAGGAATGCATAAGCTATGCCTCATAGACTTTCTTGAAAAATATCAATGACAATGTTAACAGGAACAAAACAATGACATGCTCTCATCTATATTATAGTTATTTAGGTACAAACAATGTACGTTTGTTGCATAAGTCTCTCATTGTTTGTCCTTTGGATTTACATAACATACATTGAATCAGGCAAACATAGTTTTATCCAGATTGTAATGAATAAATCTAGTTAATATTTCGCCAGGTAATACAAAGTATACATTGCTAATGGAAGTTCATTTAATTATCAAAAAACTAATGTTTTATAACCTTTTTCAGGCCACAAACCCACCATTCAGAGACTTAAGTCTACTGCCATTCCCAGCCTATTTTCCTGGACCACGCAAGAGACTGAATCGTCCGCCAAAAGAAAAATCAGGGACGTTTCCTGTGAAAACAAAAGAACTAAACTTGATGAATATTGTAGTAGAAATCTAGAGGAAAGTTTTGATTGTAAAGTTGGTTTTCCTGAAGAAGTCATTCATACTGCAGAAAGGATTTATGACTGTCCACCACCAACTGTCGAGCTAATGTTGAACTTCACAGATGGAATTATGCAAACACCATCAATGCCTATGTTTTCAGCAGAGAATTTTGAAATGAAGACACGTGACACAGCCATGCATTTTTAATACCGGTTTAGAGTTGTATACTAAATTTTTATTTGTTTTGACCACACTTGGTCCAGCAGCACATTGTTTGAGATACATATATTTTCAAATTGATAGGGTGTCAGTTGAAAATCAGTTTTTTTATGACTTTGATGAAATTGAGGCATTATACAACCAATTTTGAACTTTCTAGATTCTAGATTGAATCACTGATTATTGTGTATACATGGATTGTTTTTATGTCTAAACAGTGGTGTGAGGCTAACACTTGGCCATCTAGTGGTTTAGTCAGGTATTTTTCACCATCCAACTTCAAATTAAAGTTTCCTACGACTTGGATTATTCTTTACAGCACAGAATATCCCGTGATAAAACCTAAAGCTCCTAGAGCTCAGGCAACCTTTTCATCATATAAAAACAGAAACACTGAAAATACTTGTATGTTCGACACCTGTTGGTTTAGTCAACTATGTCTCTAATGCATATGTTGGTTCTACCAGTGACTATGAAATAGTTGAAAGATGTAGAATAGTTCAATTATGTGATCCAGGTGACAGTGTGATGGCAGACAAAGGTTTAAATGTGCAAGATTTGTTTGCTAACTTTTTTCAAAAAAAGAAACAGAATTAGTTCCAAAACTCTTATACGGGATAGAAAAGTCTCCAATTAACATGTGCACCTAGAGCGAATTATTGGACTTGGCAAAACATACAAAATTCTAATAAATCCTATGAATGGAACTGAAACAAAACTTTCATCTGAAATAGCATTTAGTTGTACTATGTTCATGATGTTGTGTAATTTTAGAACTTGTATTGTGCCAAAGGGTGCATAAATAAAAGTGACGCAATGAATTTTGTTCTGATATATATATATATTTATATTACAAGGCTTCCAAAATTATTTTTAGCCAGCCGGACATTTTATATATTATCCCGATTTTAATCACTTAAGACTAAATAAATAAAAGGCAATTATGGTAATCAGTTGCCGAGTTGGCCATCCCAATGATTGACATTAAAAAAAAAACGATATTAAACTTTCTTAGATTCAAATTCGAAGTTCTGACGTAAACTGTTAAATTGGCAGTGCATCATTCGAAGTGTGCAACATCAGCGTACGTTTGCAAAGCATGAATGAGTGTAAGTAGCTCTTTCTACGTTATTTCTTCAAGAAAATATTCGAAATAAACGTGAGATAAAGGTATCAATGACAATTTAAGCATTTTTTGAAGAAATTAGGATGCATAATTAAATTTCACACCTGCGCAAATAAAAGTGACGCAATGAATTTTGTTCTGATATATATATATATTTATATTTTATAATTACATGCACATGTAAATTGTAATGCATATGAAAATAAGGAGATGTGGTATGATATTCAGTGAGTTTATCGAACTAAAGTGCATAAGAAATGGGTTTAAGCAGTTACAGGTGTTACTGTCACCGTACAATCTCCAACAATGAGAAAAACTTGTACCGTGTAAAACATTTCAGAGATCTTCCCACTAAGTTTTGTTGTCTCACCTTGACTTTGGTGAATTGTTTATATCTGTTGATGTAAATATAAAAAAGAAGATGTGGTATGATTGCCAATGAGACAACTCTCCACAAGAGACCAAATGACACAGAAATTAACAGCTATAGGTCACAGTACGGCCTTCAACAATGAACAAAGCCCATACCGCACAGTCAGCTATAAAAGGCCCCAAAATGACAATGTAAAACAATTTAAACAAGAAAACTAACGGCCTAATTTATGTACAAAAAATGAACGAATATAACAAATATGCAACACATAAACAAACAACAACCACTGAATTACAGGCTCCTGACTTGGGACAGGCACATACATGTACATACAGAATGTGTCGGGGTTAAACTAGTTTGAAGGCGCGCCAACCCTCCCCTAACCTGGGACTGTGGTGTAACAGTACAATATAAGAACAAACTATAAAAATCAGTTGAAAGAGGTTTAACTCATCAGATGGATAAATACAAATACAAGTGGACGTGGTCGGGTAGTTGTACATCCAAACAACAAAAAGACACTAAGTACAGATCTGAGAGTACTCAAAGTTACTGACAGCTAGTTCAAAGCCACTAACAACTGATAAAAAAATCTTGCATCTAAGACTAAATTATCAATCCGTAAGCTCCCTTTAGAATTTTATAAATTTTAGATTTTACATTTCTGACTTTTGGGGTTTTATTCATTAAAAAAGGGGGGATTTTCCAGTTTTTGTCGAGCCTGCGACTTTTGTCGCAGAAAGCTCGACATAGGGATAGTGATGTGGCGGCGGCGTTAGCTAACTTCTTAAAAGCTTTATATTTTAGAAGGTGGAAGACCTGGATGCTTCATACTTTGTATATGGATGCCTCATGTTACGAAGTTTCCGTCAGTCACATGTCCAATGTCCTTGACCTCATTTTCATGGTTCAGTGACTACTTGAAAAAAAAGTTACCATTTTTTGTAATGTTAAATTCTCTCTTATTATAAGTAGTAGGATAACTATATTTAATATGTGCGTACCTTGGAAGGTCCTCATGCCCGTCAGACAGTTTTCACTTGACCTCGACCTCATTTCATGGATCAGTGAACAAGGTTAAGTTTTGGTGGTCAAGTCCATATCTCAGATACTATAAGCAATAGGTCAAGTATATTCGGTGTATGGAAGGACTGTAAGGCGTACATGTCCAACTGGCAGGTGTCATCTGACCTTGACCTCATTTTCATGGTTCAGTGGTTATAGTTAAGTTTTTGTGTTTTGGTCTGTTTTTCTTATACTGTATGCAATTGGTCTACTATATTTGGTGTATGGAATGATTGTAAGGTGTACATGTCTAGCTGGCAGGTCTCATTTGACCTTGACCTCATTTTCATGGTTCAGTGGTCAAAGTTAAGATTTTGAGTTTTGGTCTTTTTTTCTAATACTATATGCAATAGGTCAACTATATTTGGTGTATGGAAATATTTTATGATCTATATGTCAGTCGCGCAG